AATAATATCTTCAAAGACCTGGGAATTGGATACTCTCCATCTTAAGAGGGAGTTCCCTGGTGGTCCAGTGGTTAAGACTCCACATTTCCACTGCAGGGGGTGTGGTTCAATCCCTGGTCAGGGACGATCCCACAGGCTGCAGGGTGCAGAAAAAATGAGTCTGAGAGAAGTTTTTCATCTTGCAAACCTGGAACTCTATACCCCTAAACAATAATTCCCTGTTTCCCCCTTACCTCCACCACTGGTAGCCAACATTTTACTCTCTGTCTCTATGAATGTGACTACCTTTAGATACCTCCAATAAGTAAAATATATAATGTTTGTCAAAAAAAAAAAAAAAAGCAGATTCCTGGTTTTAAAAATAATTTAGATATGATCATGGTATTGTGTTTTGATATGTTTGCTATGTTATTATTGTTCTTTTCATTTATGTCTATCTTTGAGAGGTAAATACTGAAATAATTAAGGATGAAAAAGAAAAATTAGTCTGAGAATATACTCCAGGATGAGTGTGGGCTTGTAGAGATGATTCCACTGGTTCGAGAACAGTCTCAGTCCCTACGTACCTCTCACAGTGCAGGCATCTTGCCAGACTTTGAGATCTTGCTGTGTAAAGACTCATGTTGTCTTTGTAAGAACAGATCCTAAATACAAGCCAAATATTAAAAAGAAAAAAGAAAAGAATGAGGGTGAAATACGGATTAAAACAAAGTGATTTTACAACTGGAAGACTTGACTAACTGAACTTCTAAGATATACTTCAGAAAGAAGAAGCATGACTCAAGAACTGAAATGAAAACCGGAATAGTGAGTGAAGAAATCGGTAAATATGGTGAATCTAAACAAAACTGTCAGTAGAAAACAATCATGGTGACAATAATAATATAAAATTTATAGGTTTAATACAAGGTCAGAACTAAAATGCTGGGAACAATAAATTAGAAAAGAGGTGAATGGAGTTAAATTGTCCTAATGCCTTTGCATTTGTGTGAGAAGTGAATTAGTATAATAACTTTGGCCTTTGTTAAATATGTGTGGTAAAAAGTCAATGGTATTTACTAAAATAATACAAATAAGACACATATATATGTACGTACAAACATACATGCATATATATCTTTTGAACCAATAGGAGGGAAATGACATAAGCCAATAAAAAAACAAACACCAATCAACCCAAAAGAAGTATATTAAAAAGTGACACTTTCCCCCCCAAAAAAGATAGTAAAAATAAGTCCAGATATACTATCACAATAAATGTAAACTAGCTAAATGCCTCAGTTAAAAATCAGAAGTTGTCAAATTGAATGTTAAAAAATCTGAGGCACTGTTTCAAGAGGTACTCCCAAAACCCAGGAATCCGGAAAGGTTGAAAGTAAAAGTACGGAAAATTATATACCTGACAAATACTGTCCGAAAGAAAGCTAGTGTAGCTAAATTAATATTAGATAACATAGACTAACAAAAAATATTATTAAGGATGGAGAGGATCACTGCATAATGATAAAGAGTTCAATTCATCAGCAAAATGTCAGTTCTAAACTATAGAAAACGTATCTTATAATTACTAAAGATATTGATGAAATCTTTAACCAAAGGAAAACTTTAAGTCCAGAAACATTACAAAAGTTTAGAAGCACATCTAAACTTTCAAGGAATAGATCATTCTACTCTCTCATAGGTTCCTCTGGAAAATAGAAAGAAAGGACATATTCCCAACTCACTCTACAATGCCAATGTAAATTCTGTACCAAAATCATCAGACCAATATTACTCATAAATAAATCAAAAACAAAGAAGTAAAAATCCTAAGTAAAATATTAGTAAATTGAGTCCAGCAATATATAAAAAGGTTGATACTTCATAACCAAGATAAGAAAAATATTCTTGTAGTTAACCTCATCAATATATTAAAGAAAAACTATAATATCATCTAAATAGTTGCAAAATTTTAAAATAAAATTCAATAGTCCCTTATGGTAATAACTCTTAGGGAACTAAGAGAACTTCCTTAACCAGTTAAAAGGCATTTACCAAAGACCTACAGTTTGAGCAAGTATGATCCTCAATAATGAAAAGTTAGGAATACGTCCTTCAAAATCAGAAGCAATTCTGACCAAAATCTCAACGGGGCTTTTCAAGGAAGATGAACTGATTCTAAGATTCCTTGGAAGAGCAAAGGGTCAAGAAAAGCCAAAATACTCCCAAAGAAGAAGGAAAGGTAGCATCAAGCTTATTAAAAATGTATAGTTATTAAGAGAGTATCTATTCATGTAGGGGTAGATTAAAACACTAATGAAACAGAAACACACCCATGCACACAGGGAAACTTGGTTTATGACAAAGCTGACATTTCAGATCAGCAGGGAAAGGAGGACAATTCAGTAAAAAGTGCTAGAACAATTAATTATTCATATAGAAGAATGTGGAATTTAACGATTCTCACTCCCCTCCCCCATTAATTCAAGATAGATGAAAGACTTTAACATAAAAGGCAAAATTAAATTTTTAGAAGACAGTATAAGAGAATATTTTTAGGATCTTTCCAACACTTGGCACAACAAGGCTTTTTCAATCTAGTGGGTAAAATGGTATCTCACTGAGATCTTAATCTTCATGGCCATGATTAATGGGCTTGAGCAATTTTTCATGTATTTATTTGCCATTCCTGTTTCTGTGTCTGTGAAACACCTGTTCATATCATTTCCTCATTTTTCTGTCCATGTCTTAATGCTTTGTAGTTAACATGTGTTGTAAATATCTTCTCCCAGTTTGTGACTTATCTTTTCCCTTTCTTTAGTACTTTGGGATAAACAAACGTTAATTTTAATTTAGTTAAATTATCCTTTGTATTTGGTGCTTTTTATATCTTGTTTAAGAAATCCTTTCCTACCTCTCCTGAGCTACATGGCTAGGTTAGGGGAGATATAGCATCCCAGGGAAACTAGGGATGTAGGTACTAAATTGTGACCAGCGGATGCTGAGCTGGCAAGAACACACAGATGGTGGTGCAGATGTGGAAACACAAGCTCCAGGTGTTTGAGTCACTTGAACGTACCTCAGGTGAAGATGGTGATCTCTGGCTTCATGAAGCCCAGCTCTACCACTCATTGGCTGTCTCTGTAAACCTGAGTTTCTTCACGTAGAGACAGGGGATGACGATGAAGAATTGATAATGGTACCAACCTCATGCGTCTACAGAGATGATCAAGCCAAACCAAGCATTCACGGGGCACATCCAGTCCTTAGAGGGGCCGGAAAACTGTCTTTGAATAGTCAAAGGTTAGTTATGGAAAAGAGAGTATGAAGACCCCAAATGCAGGCCAGGAATCAATGGGTGAAGGTTGCCAGCAGGTGTGTGCATGTGCGTGTGTGAATGTAGGGCAAGAGTTCTTCTTGCTAAGAGAACACATCTCTCCAAGGCTTCTTGCTGGGTGCCTCATAGGCTTCACTTTAGCATCCATTTCACCCAGGTCATTGTACCAAGACCTCTCCCTCTTAGCTGTCTCTGCTGGGGCCTTTAGGCCACTTAAACATGAACATTGTAATGAAACTCTCAAAGATGTGCATCACATTATGTCACCTAAATCATGACGCTTCCTGATCTAATTTATCAACAGGCTAGTGCATCCTCATTTCTTCCCACGTTGTCTCTTCTCTGAGCTGCTGAGGTCATGCAGGGAGCCAGGTCACACATCTATATGGATGGATCATAGTCTGGTCACCCTTCAAGCAGTAGTTCTGGTGCCTGGGTTGGGGGTCTGGGGACTGGTAGTACGGGGTACCCAACAGGGCCAGGAGCAGGAGGAATGAAGCAGCATGAGTGGCAGGAACAGGCCAAAGAGTCAGAAACGGGACGGACACCGGGGGTGCGGCAGGCAAAGCCAGGAGGAGAAGGCAGTTGTAGGGCATGGATTGTCATCCACTCCTTAGTGTTAGTTCTCAAATGGACTGTTTTCATTTAAATCCATAGGGTGGGCCTATGGCAATCAGTGGCTAGTGGACATGTCTTCACTGCCTACACTCTGTCCTGGACATTGTGTTTTTCATGCATTAGCCCATTTGCTTTCATCTTCACAGCAGCCATGAGTGTGGGTGTTATTACTTCCACCATGTAACAGATGAGGAAACAGGGCTTAGATGTTAGGTAACTTGCCCAAGATCACATAGCCAGCAATTGGTGGGGTAGACACTTGTCTCCTGAATCCATGCTCCTAACTGCTGTATCACATGGTGCTCAATGACTACCTCCTAGGACCTTGTACAAGACTTACATTTTGCAGGCTGCCATGGAGATTCCCCAAAGTTCGGAACAACAGAATGGGCATTGGGGTCTTTTCCTTACGAAACACACCTCATTTCTCTTCTCATAAGCGGTCTGAGGTGACCTCTGAAAAAGGTTCGCTATTCACTTGACCCAGAAAACCCCATAAAATCATGCATATCAAGAGGTTCAAACATTTGTGTTCACTCTCAGAACATTCGTGAAACTGCTCGGGCCAATAAGGGTGTGCATATCCCCAAATCCACCAAGTATCTGAAGGATGTTCACTTTACAGAGCCTTGTGGGCCATTCTGTTGGTACAATGGTAGCGTTGGTAGGTGTGCCCGGGCGAAACAGAGGGGCTGGATGCAGGGTCAACGGCTCAAAAACAGTGGTGAATTTTTACTGCACGTGATTAAAAATGCCGAGTGTAACACTGAACTCAAGGGTTTAGATGTAGATTCTCTGGTCATTGAGCACATCCAGGTGAACAAAGCCCCCAAGATACGGTACAGGACTTAGCAAACTCATGGGCGGATTAACCCGTGCGTGAGCTCTCCCCACCACACTGAGATGACCCTCACTGAAAAAGAACAGATTGGTCCTAAACCAGAAGAGGAGGCTGCCCAGAAGGAAAAGACATCCCAGAAGAAACCGAAGAAACAAAAACTCATGGCCTAGGAATTAATTCAGCATGAAATAAATGCAAATTAAAGTTAAAAAAAAAGAAATGCACCTCATCTTAGTGATGGCAGCTCCCCATCATTGTGGCTCCATGTGATCACAGCCTGGTTGCATGTGATTGGGTCTCCATGGAAACACAACTTCCACTGACTTCTGCTTCCAGAGAAGTCTGCTCCCAATCTGAGAATTAATTTCAAATATGGTTTCTTTTTACTTTTTAAAAAATTTAATGCTCTTAGGTTTCCCTGGTGGCGCAGTGGTTAAGAATCCTCATGCTAATGCAGGGGACACAGGTTCGAGCCCTGGTCCTGGAAGACCCCACATGCCGCAGAGCAACTAAGCCCGTGCACCACAACTACTGAGCCTGCGTCCTAGAGCCCGTGAGACACAACTACTGAAGCCCACGTGCCTAGAGCCCGTGCTCCACAACAAGAGAAGCCACCGCAATGAGAAGCCCAGGCACTGCAACGAAGAGTAGCCCCCGTCACTGCAACTAGAGAAAGCCTGCGTGCGGAAACGAAGACCCAACGCAGCCAAAAATAAATAAATAAATTTTTGAAAAATTAAAAAAAAAAAAATGTAATGCCCTTGTGGGGACCTGAGCTGGAGTGCGCCGACCTCGTCTGCCCAAGGGTCGTCAGCCAAAGCACCCAGAGTGGGCACCGCACGGTCAAGAGCCAGGACCGAGCGCCTCTGGCTACAGATCCGGGAGCTGTCGGGTCCTGCCACCCACCTCAGGGCGCACAAAACTGGCCGTGAGGATGGCCACCAGGGTCCGGACAGCTGCCGTCTGGGTATTTATGGAGCACCCACTATGTGCCGGGCCCCCTTCAAGGTCCAGGCATGCGGTGGTGAACGAGACTGACAGGATCCATGCTTTGGGGAGTTTGCACTCTGGTGGAGGAAGGCAGATGCCACCTAAATGATGGAGAAACTACTTACAAGTGAACAGGAGACGTCGTTGTCGTGTCGTACATGGGGATTAACATTGGTTGATGTGAAAGACTGGGTGTTTGGGGAAGTTCCCACGGAGGAGGTGACGTTTGCAGGTCTGAGTTACCAGAGTAGGCCAGCCGTGGGAAAAGCAGGTGCATGAGCCTGTGGGGGGGCGGGGCGGGGGAGCCATTGCCAAGGCCACGAGGTGGGGGAGGGTCGGTGCCTTTGTAGCAGGGAAGGAAGGCCTGTGCGGCCCGGCTTGTTGGGGAGGGGAGGGGAGCAGACAGACATGGAGGGGCCAGAGGTCCATCAGACTGGGAAGCTGTTGTGTTAGGAAAGGGGGTTGGGTTTTTCAGAGACCCTCTGGCTGCTCAGTAGAGAATGGGCGACTGCAGGGGTGCAGACGAGAGGCGGAGGAGGTTTTGTCTGGGGTAGTGGAAACGGAGAAACTAGACAGAATTGGGGGTGTTTGAAAGGTGAATCCTCTTCTCTGACAACCAGCTTATGCTTTTCACCTAGTCCACTGTCACTTTTTAGAGTGGTGTATTTTCTGTAAGTAGTCCTGTTATTTCTTACCATTCCAACCCACCAGAGTGAATGCTCAGTGCTTACTGTGTGTGTGGGGTTCTGTGCTGCCTCTGGTGTAGGTATTTATCAGTGCCTCTTCTTGGGACCAGGTTGCACTGCTGGTTGGTGCAGAGCCAGGATTTGAAGCTGGGTGGGATGGCCCTACACCCATTTCCCTGGTCAGCATACTCTAGTGCCTCAGGGTGTAGCCTGAGAATTGCTCAAGAGACAGGGATTCTAGATTCCTGGGCCCTAAGAGTAGTTATTGTTTACTCGCAAAGGGTCACTTATCAGCCGCTCCTTGGACGCAGGAGCAGTTAAGTCCCTTGCCGCGCCCTGGGTGCAGTGGGTGTGTGTGGCCCAGTCCCTGGGGAATGATTGATAGGCTGTGGATGACCCCACTCAGGGATGCGCTGAAAGTGGAAAGGATATAACATGCAAGACATTTTAAAACTGTGCAACAGAGGGGTCCCTTTCCCATGGGTGGTGACATACTCAACCCATATTCTGGGCGTTCCCTGCTGGGTATCCAGGGTGATACCTCGTAATTAGAAGGCTGTAGATGAGGGTGAATTCAGAGCAGAGGGAGGAGGTGATGTTGCACTGAAGCCTGTGAGCTCCTAAGTCTCTGTTTCTTTCCTCAGAGGATGCTGGGCACTTACTGGCAGGTTTTGTTTTTTCAGTTTGGCTACTTTCTGCTGTTGACACTTCCCTCCCTTAAATGTGTCATTACAAATCCACTTCAGGGAGTCTCCATTCCTACCTAGGGGCTTGGAAAGATTTTCCATCTCCTCCTCTCGTGTAGGAGTTGAGTTATTTTAAACCAGGGAAACTTGTTTCCCTTTTTCTCCAGCGTTGGGCAGGGCCTTTGCTCCCATGGATAGTTTGCGGTGCAGTGAGTTGGGGCTTCAAGACTGATGTGAGGGGTGCAGGGGTGAGAGAAGGGAGCAGTGAGTTGGGGCTTCAAAACTGATGTGAGGGGTGCAGGGGTGAGAGAAGGGAATTCTGCCTGGCGGGGCCTTTCTGAGGAAGGTTGGCCAGTGTTCCCGTGCATACCAGGCTGGATGTCTTCAGCTGTGCCCAGACTGACCCTCTTGGCGAATTAAAGGTTAAAATGATAATTTCCTGTTAAAATGTGGCAGTGTTCATGAATTACCCTTTCAAAACTAACAACCCTCACGCACCCTTGTTTATATATACCAGGTACCGGTTAGGCACCGAGGATACACGGGTCAAAGGCAGCCCTGGGAGTTGAGAGAGGGGACTGAGGGCAGGCCCGGCGGCCACGGGATTCGCCTGGGGCAGAGGGAAGCCCAAGAAGTGACCTTGGCGGCTGCTCTCAAAGGACCTGTGGAATTAGCCTTGCGAAGGCAAGGGAGAAGTAGGCTCCAGGCAGAGGGAGCCCCTGTGCGCTGCCAGCAGGGGGCGGGGCGTGGCCGGCCGCCAGCAGTGGGCGGGGGTATGGCCGGCCGCCATCAGGCCTCTGGAGCCAGCACAGTGTTCAGCCGGAGGCGCTGGGGAGGGGTCAGGTAATATGGCGGCCTGTCACCTCCGTGGCTGACTTGAGCAGACCGCTCATCCCTTCCAGACAAGCTGAAAACTACATTTTCCTCGTGACTCGAGCCTTTGATGACTGTGGAGTCACCTTATTTCCAGGAATCCTTTTTTTGTCTTAGAGTCTGTTTTATATTCTTATAGCTGTAGGAGCCTCCTTTTGGTTAATCGCTCGTCATGTATTTTTCTCCAGCTTGTGACTTTTTTGTATCTTCATATTTTAGATATGTCCTTTTTAAATAGCATCATTTTTTAAAATCAGTCTGTCAATCTTCGTACTTAACTCAAATACTTTGTCCGTTATGATTAATGTAATTACTGTTATACTTGAGTTTAAATCTACCATCTTACTGTGTTTTCTCTGTACTGTGTTTGCTGTACCTGATCTGTTTTTTTGTTTGGTTGTTTTTTCTCCTCTCTTGGCTTTTTTTTTTGACGATAATTTTTTATTCTTTTTCTTTCTGTACAGGTGTTCGGGAATTATACACATTATTTATGCTTTAAAAAAAAATTAGTGCTCTTTATTCCCCAGTAGGAACTTGTGATTTGAGCAGTAACTTATGGGCATTCAGACATATATTGTCTTTTCTTGAGCTTCACAGAACCTGCCAAGTCTTCAAATATAGTATTGAGACTTTATCTGCATCATTTTCACATGAGACCTCTGAGGCAGTGCAGAGTAATGGCTGGGAACACAGACTGCTCTCTGGAAAGCCTGACTGCCATTTACTAAATATGCATTTCTGACAAGTTACTTACTCTCTCTGGGTCCCAGTTTACACCTCTACAAAACAGGGGTAATAAAGTACTTAATTCATATATTTGTTCTCAGTGTTACCAAATTCTTAACAAAGTAAGTGTTGGCTACCATTATTCCTCTCCCACCTACCCCTTCCCCCCTGCCGCCCCTGTTCCCAACAGCAGGGTGACCAATCATCCTGATTTACTTGGGACTTTCCCTGTCTTTACACTGAACACCCCCCCCCCAAATCTTCGACAAACCAGGACCATTGACCACCCTCCCTGACTCTGCAGTCAGAGAAGTCATGATAGGCCAGATAAAATGGTGGCCAGTGGGGCTCAAGAAGGTTTGAATCCCAGATTTACATTGGTAATTCAAAATCATGACATTTTGTGGCCACAGTATGTAGAATGATAGCTCAGAGGCACAGAAAACTCACTGAAACCAAAGGTAAGTCCAATTACCTCTCTATTTTTGAGTCCCCAAGGGCAGAAGCGGTCTTATTCATTGTTGTACCCTCTGCACACTTAGTAGGCTGATTTCTTAAGGTCATGTGTTATGAAGGACACTGGCCTGCATCTAAATCCAGTTTGGGGACGACTTTGGAGCAGGTTCTGTCTGTGGAGGGGAAATTCCATCCTGAAATGGGATTCCTGCCTTGAGACTCATTCGTGAATCACAGTTTGGTTAAACATTGACACCTTCTGCTCATAACTACCCTCCTCACCCTGTCTTTGGGACTGACGTGATTTTCAATGGTTTGTAAATAATTGCCCAATGCATGATGACCCAGAAGGGGTGGCGGCCCCTAGAGAACACCACACAACTTACTGAGGTCCCCTACTCACAGCCTGGGGTGTCTCCCAAGCTCTCATGTGCCTTCTGTGCGGGGTAAGAAGGAGGTTTCGGAATACAGGGAGAAAGCACCCCATTTGCAGGGAGTCTGGGGGATGGGGACATGGATTGTTCTCGGTGTTCTGAGATGGAACACTGATGGGGCCTTGTCGCTGCTACACGCCAGAGAAGACAGGGTACAGAAGACTGAGCAGGTGCTTGAACTCTTGTATCGAACAGTCTTGGTTGTGCCTCTTACTTGTTGGGAGACTTGTGGCAAGTGAATCACCTTCTCTGAGGCTCCATTTCCTCTTCCGTAAAATGAGGACAGTAGTAATACTTGATGGTAGGGAGGCTTTAAAAACCTAGTACATATGAACAGTATGTATAATATGGGGCCTAATACAGCTTAATAGCCTCAATACCCTAACAGGGTCTGTAGCTGCTATTATTGTTGATCCGACATAAGTATCGCATACAACATTGTTCCAAGGGGAGAATAGCCCCAAGTCAACAAATGCAGAGAGGAGTGTCAAACAGCAAGCAC